GGGGTTGGCTAGACAGTTGTAGAGTCTTTGCTTTGAATACCAGAGTGAAGATACAAATGGGGAGCTATGGAGAATTACACCAGAAGAGTGACATAGATTTGTGCTTCAGGAACCAGGGCTGCTGCATTAGTTCTGCCCCTTCTCTGGACTTCATGCCCCAGTTGGTGGAACTAAGAGGTTGTAATAAGTGATCTTTGAGGTCATCCTCAGCTCAATGGTTCTGAGATCAAAGCCTATCCCAACTCTTCTTCCTTTTCCTGCCCCACCCCTTTTTATTTTTCGGCCACTCAGTGCTCTGCTGAGGCTGGATCTATCTCCTCAGGGGAACATTGGCTAAACAAAGGCCATGGAAACAATCTGTTGCATTTTATTTTATTTTTTTTGTTTTCCTCTCTGTTTGAAATCTTCAAGGAGAAAAGCCAAGTCCATGCCGGCTTCTAGCAGCAACTGGGAAGGGAGTTAGAGGTACCGAGATGGGCAGTCAGATCCCCTGAGGGTGGCAGACCACAGCAGGCTACAGAGGATGCTCCTGCCGGGGCCTTTCTTGCTGGAAAACCTTGGCTTTGACCTGTCCAAAATGCTGACAGGCCATTCAGAGCCCCGCCTGGAAGGCCCCAGCTGGTTGTGCGAACTAGGGAAGTTCTCTGCTCCTTCCAAATTGTCTCCTATCATCACAACGTGATTTATGAGCATTTCCTCTAAAATATGAGAACACTGGCTCCTGGTGATAACCCTGGAAGGGCGGAGGCAGCAGCTGTAGCATTTCTAGTAAGGAAGATCCCTCTGGCACTCGTCTTGTCAGGAAGAGGATGCAAGAGGTAGAATTCAGATGGGCAGAAGGTGCTTTCTGTTCTGTTTAATCTGGAAAACAAGGCTAATCCACGAAACACAGGCCACGGAGCTCTGTAGGGACGCCAGTCTTTCATACAGTGGAGAACAGTATTGTCACCTTCTGAGGGATCTGGGGTTGATCCCTAGCTCTGCTATGTAGATGTCACAGGCTGGTGACATCTCTTGCGCCTCTATTCCCTTTCTGATGGGGGGAAAATGGGAACACTAGAAGCACCTGTGCAGCCCACGTTGGGGAAGCACCTAAAGTACTCGGGCTGGGCCTGCCACTCTCCCTGCTCTGGCACTTATTGTTGGATTATGATGACAGCCAATGGTCTAAAAGTCTTTGGAACAAAACATGGAAAACATTTTCAGAGTGGTGTATAGTGTGCATGGTGTGTGTGGTATGTGTTGTGTGTTTTGTGCATGTGTGGTGTATGTGTGTAGGTATGCATTTGTGTCAGCTGAGGCTCTCATAATCACACTTAGTGCACTTGGGCAAAGGCACTTGATAAAGGTGAATGGCAGTTTGCTGTATAGATACCGATACCCTGATGACCTACTGTGTGTGCTGGGAGAATCTGCCTTCAGAGCTTAAGTTTCTTTTGAGGAGATGGCAGATATGACATGCATACATGAAGGAACAAGCACACCATAACCAAGCACTGCCAGGCAGTCTGAGAGCAAGTGGGAGTCTGTGGGGAGTTGAGAGGAAGCCCCAGGGCAGCAGCCGGGACCTTGTGGGAGGAGCTGTGCTTGACTCGGGTTCCAAAACTGTGGTTTTCTGCCTTTTTTTTTTTTTTTGGCTGCCTACCCTCTAAATGAACTTTTTGAGGGAAAACAATCTCTTCCCCTTCACACATTTTAACTTGACACCTAAAATGTTTCATTCTAAGTAGCTACAAAGGATGTATTTCTGCTGTGTTTTAAATATTGACATCTTAGATTAACATTACACCACTCTTCCATCAAATGGAACTGGGTGCAGTGGTGCACGCCTGTAATCCCAGCCTCCAGCTGAGGCTGGAGGATCACAAGTTTGAGAGGCGAGCCTCTGCAACTTAGCAAGACCCTGTCTCAAAAAAAAAAAAAAAAAATCGGGGGTGGCTAGAGATGTAGCTCAATGTTAAAGTGCCCTGGGCTCAGTCCCCAGTACCACAAACAAGCACCATCAAATGGAAACTAAGTAACAGCAATTTTTTATTTTGTCTTTTATTGAAGTATCATATGTAAATAGTAAAATGCACAGATCTTAATTGTGCAACTCAATAATTTTTACCAGTGTCCCTACCCGCTAAATCAAGTTGAGGGATATCTCCAGGACTTTAGAAAGCATCTTGTGCCCCCTCTCAGTGAATAACCCTTCAAAGGTGACCACTTCTCTCATCTCTATCATGATAAACTAGCTTTTCATTATTTCATTAGTTCTGGCTGCTTTCAGTAAACACAAGGTCTGTGGGTTTCAGGATTGCTCTGCAGATTAGTAGTAGTACATTCTCATTGTTACTGGATATCTAGGGGCATTTCTAATATTTGCCTATTAAGTTACTATCCTTGTATATATTTTTGGGTGAAAATAAGCACGGATTTCTTTTGGATTATATATATATAGTCATGAGTGGAATTGCCAGGTCATATGATAAATACCATAATACATTGGAATCCTTTGTCATTCAGCAAAAATACCAATAAGCCAGCTGTGGTGGTGCACATCCATAATCCCAGCTACTCAGGAGGATTGTAAATTTGAGGCCAACCTGGGCAACTTAGTGGAGACACTGACTCAAAATAAAAATAAACTTAAAAAGGTAGAATGTAGTTCAATGTTTGAGGCCCTGGGACCCAGTGTTCAATCCCCAGAACTGTACATACACACACATACACAAAGGAAGGAAAAAATACCCAAACAAGTAAGAAATATTTACATTGGTCCTTTGTCTTCTGAAGTTCATAATTCCCTCCTACTTCCTTCATAGATTTTTACCTTAATGTATTATGGTTTAATTTTTGATAGATTATCATACTTCTTTTTATCCCAAACGTGTATGTAACTTGAAATGAACATTTTACATTTGTCCTTTGACCACACAATTCTAAGGATCTTTCCTTTGGATTAATTTATCATTTTAGTGATTGCTAATAAACAGGTCATTAAAATAATACTAATACTTTGCAAATTTGATAGACTATTAGACATACAAAATAACATTTTGTAGGAAATGTTTCTCATAATAAAATGGATGGGGTGGGAGATGACAGTGTTGCTCAAACTTCAAGGTACATAAGGATGACCCAGGGAACTTATTAAAATGCAGATTCTGATCCAGCAGGTCAGGGCTGGGGCTTGAGATTCTGTTTTTTTTCTTCTCTTCTAGCTTTATTAAAGTATAATTGATATACAGAAAGTAGCATACATTTAATGTATACATCTTGGTGAGTTTGGTCAGTTCAATGTTTTTAAGTAATGGTGATGCCTCTGGTCCATGAACCATACTTTGAGTAGCAAGAATTTATAGTCCTTGATTAAAAAAAATATTTGCTAGCACGAACATTTTGATTTGTCCCTCCCTGTTTTGACACCCAGATTTTTTGACACTTTGGGATGCTGTGCCACATTCAGATTCTGGATGCATGAAACGTTGGTCTTCCTCCTGTAAAATAGGAAACAGGACCATTGTGAAGAGGGAGAGTTTCACACCATCTAGACACCATCTGCACTTTCTCAGGCAGAGTGGTTTTAGGAAAGAGTGGGAATGGACACTTTTTGCTGAGGATCTGAGGTGGATTTGTAACTCTGCCTGCACATCCCCTGGGGTATCTTTGTATGCTACAGAGAGGGTCTGCCCCATTTTGCAGATCAACTTTCCGAAGGATGCTAAAATGTTGCGGGTCACTATGTCAGATAGGGTGCACATTTGAGCAAGTAAGATTGGACATTGCAAGGACTGGATTGACAGATTTGGAGGCTCCACTGGGAGAGAAGTCCTGAGCAGTAACATGTGGGAGAGGGTGCTGGATGGTTTTGAATTCTGAGCTAAGGAGTTGGACTTAATCTTGAGGCAGAGGTATTTTTGAGTGGATTGCTGGTATGAGAAGAGTGTTTTGGAGAGATGATATATAGAGAACTTCAGGAATGTCAGAGAAGGAGTTCGCTACATGGGGATGGTGGCAGTGACAACACTAGGGCTTGAAGATGAGATTGGCTGTAGTCATGAGCATTTGGCTTCAATTTTTTTAAAAAATATTTTTTTTAGTTGTAGATAAACACAATATCTTTATTTATTTATTTTTATGTGGTGTTGAGGATCAAACCCAGGGCCTCACACATGCAAAGCAAGCGCTCTACCACGAGTCTCAACCCCAGCCCTTGGCTGTAATTTTGAAGTCTGACTCCCAGCTCTTGAACTTTTGTCCTGGTAGTACAGACCTGGTTTGCCCCATCAATATTTCCTGAAGTGGGCTACATTCTTCTAGTAGCACTTGAGATGTTTATACACGGAATTCAAGGTAATTTAAAGCAGAACACAGCTGTGTCCTTGAATAACACTAAACCCAAGAGCAAGCAGCATCCCCTTCACAGCCTTTTCTCTGTCTTCACTGTACCTGGAGAAGATCTTTCTTTAGCCCTCTTGGGCTGTCATTTCCCTTTCTTGCTAAAGAGCAAGCAGCTGAGGCAGAGGGGCCTTTGAGGAACTGACTAGACAGGATTGTACAGAATTCTTGTTTTTGTTGAACTCATTTCCTATGTCCTAGGCTGCTCCTGGTTCTCCATTTTACTATAATGATATGCAGCTTTTCATTTTAAGCAAGTTCACATCAGTAAGAAAAGTGAGTCCATCTACTTGATTATATGGAAGAAATAATAATTTAGCTGGTGGCATTGTGGGTATGGTAAAAATTGTGGTGGCAACATGCAGTGATTCAAGTTTGGGAAACATAGGGTTAGATCGAGTGGCCAAAATGGCATGTGTCAAGTCTTTGTACTAAGGCTCTGCCGAGCAAGGTCTGGGGTCTAACCAAGGTCCAAGAGGCTCTAGGGATCATGTGGGGCTGCAAGGCAGGGGATGCTTAGATTGCAGTGCCTGAGCTGGCATTGCTGGATCAGCAGGGTGGGTCCAGTACTGTCCCCACCAGCAGCCTAACTAATGTTCAGCTTCTTGCTTCTGCAGAGATCCGCACGCAGCTGGTCGAGCAGTTCAAATGCCTGGAGCAGCAGTCAGAGTCGCGGCTGCAGCTCCTTCAAGATCTCCAGGAGTTCTTCCGCAGGAAGGCTGAGATTGAGCTCGAGTACTCCCGCAGCCTGGAGAAGCTGGCCGAGCGGTTCTCTTCCAAAATCCGCAGCTCCCGGGAGCACCAGTTCAAGTGAGAAGTTGGCTGTGGGGTCCCAAGAGATGCGAGGGGCCACGCTGGACTGGGCAGGCAGTTGGTGGCAAAGCATACTGGGACTTGTTAGAGGCAAAGGGCGTGCTATAAGATGCAGGTTACTTATACCTCCAAGCCTCAGTTTTCCCAGTGCATAAAGTGAAAGACCAAAATAGTTCTTACATAGGTTGCTGTAGAGAATGAGTTGCCCAAGAAAAGTGCTTGTCATAAACTGTAAGCACTCAGTATTGCTTTTATTGTTACTATCCTATCAAGTCCAGGCATGGATTAACCTCCATTTCCACCCACATGAGACCTCTGCCTCATTTCAGGACATCCTGACCCTGTCTAGTTGTGTTTTAACTGGGTAACAGCCAGCCCTCTTCTAAATTCCTCCAGCACAATGACCTTAAAATCTCTTCTCCATAGAATGGGTTCTCAAAGYATTCCTCTTCATTGTTCCCTGGAGGATCAGAACCCTTTCCCTGCCTTATTTACTAATTTATGCCACACAACCCCTCCCCAGTTGTGATTTCTCACACACCAACCTCTGAGTGTACAGAGGCCCCATCTGATTTGGCGGGCTGTGAACCCTGCAGCTGCAAATCATAGCCCTGGCTGAGCTGACTCTGGAGCCATCCTCTCCTTGGCTCCCTGGGCTGCAGAGATAGGGCAGTGTGGAGAGCTTGGGTCCCATCTCCATGTGCTCCTTCCTCTTGATTTGGAGTCAGTTCTCCCCCCATTCTAAATGTGCACATTGGAGAGAGGGGGAGAGGTGGGACTGGAGACATGGGGTGGGGGGAAGGTCCCCTGCTCTCTTGCATAGCCTGTAATGAGCTCGACCAGCCCCCCATGGGTTCATTAAGGGAGCCACCAGACGGAACAGGAGCCCCAGCTGGCAGTCGGGCCAGGCAGGCTGCTTGTCACAGTTTGAAAGTCTAATTAAGGTGTCGCCCAGGCCTGTGCAGCTGGGGCAGGCCCTCAGCACGATGCTAATGTGCTCATGCAGCCCCTGATGGCTTTTGGAGAGTCTCTAGATCATTTCGGACTCACCTTAGACTCCAGGGCACTGACTGACCCCTTACCGCTTCTTGTTTGGAGATCAGGGCTCAGGAGCTGTGCTGTGCCCTGGGTGTTTCATCTTGACCATCCTGAGAAGCCTTGTCCTGCTGTCTACAGAATCTCCATTTAAGAATTTTTAGGCCAAATAGCTTCTCAGTCTTGGGTACAGGGTTTAGGATTTGTTTTATTCTCACTGCAATGGGCCCAGTTCTGGGCAGAGATAGGATGTTTGTGAATGACATGAAGAGAGGGAGGAAGAAAGGAAGGAAGAAGAAATGGAGAAGGGCAGGCAGGAAGGAAAGAGAAGCAGTGGAGGGATGGAGCAAGGAAGGAAGGAGGAGAGAGGAAATAGAGGAAGGCAGACAGGAAGGAAGAAGAAATAGAGGAAGAAAGGAGGGAGGGAGGGTGGGGAAAGGAAGGAAGGAGAATAAAGGAAGGAAAAGAGGGCTGGAGGAAGGAAGGAGGAAGGGATGAAGGGATTTACTTACTTGGTCTGTACAGTCCCTTCTGACTGAGAGATTTGGTTCAGAGAGGGAATCCAGCTGTCCAGATCTCACAACAAATTAGAGGCAGAACTGGGACAGAGACCTGGGTCCCTTCCCTCTAAATCTAGTGTGCTTTTCTCTGCTCTGTGGGCCACATCTCTTAGCTGACTTCTATTCACTTGCACAATAGGAAAATTTACAGCTGCCAGGAGGTGCTGTGTTCTGGGTTAGACTCACCTGTGCTGAGTTTTGTGCAGGAGTCAAAGAAAAGCTCTGGCGATGACTCTGGGTCTCCCTGGGGCAGGCTGAGCATTTGGAGAGCAATATCATCATGTTTCTTTTCTATCAGCTCGTGCTTCCACTCTAACAACCCTGACATCTTTGCTGTTTCATAATCCTGATGATAACACAGGGGAGTAGTGAGAGAACTCATGGTTTTATCCCAGGCAAACTGCAAGCCAGAAAAGCCAAGTAGCTTCTTTGACCAAGGACACACAGTGAGCTGTTGGGCTTGAGAATCCAGGGTTCCTGACTTCCAGATTGGCTTCTCTCTCCAAGAAGCCATGGATCCTTTCTTTACTTAAAATGCATGTATTGAGGGCCTCTTTCTTCCTGGGACTGGGCCTAGTGCTGACAACACTAAGGAAAATAAAGCACAGTTTCTGTTGTTGAGTACTGAGTCAAGGGCATAGCTCAGGGATGCTGTAATTTGGCATGGTTGATTCAGGCACCCAAGTGGCTGTGCCTTTGAACCATCAGCCCTCAGCATTTAGATGTCTCTTGCTCTGGAAACTTCCCTTGATTCTGACCTGGTGCCTTTCCCTGTCTGCCCACAATGTTCATATGTTCCTATTTACTTATTCACTTTTTATTTACTGAGCATCAACTGCATTTCAGTCTTCAGGTCTATGGTGGTGAGCAAAATAATCTTGATTCCTGCCATGGTGAAATTTATTTTTGTGGAGGAGATAATTGAAGAATAAAGCTTAAAAAGCTAAATAAAAGAAAAGACAAACTTTAATCAAATGATTTTCAAGATGAGCTTTCTGGTTGTCTATTCTGTGTAATAGCAACATGCCCACTTTTGATGTCTCTCCTGATTTAATGGGTCAGGGATGTGGACAGGACTTAGTGGGGGTGATTCTTCTGCTTTATGTGGCATTGACTGGAATTGCTCAGTGATATTAACCTGGTGGCTTGTCTGCTTTGGAGGGTCCAAGATGGCTTTACTCACATGCATGGTGCTTTGATGGGAATGGCTAGAAGCCTGGGCCACTTTCTCCATGTAGTGTCAGACTCTAGACCCAGTAGCTCAGGACTGGGAGAGAGCAAGATGGCTTCCATGGAGCTCATTAAGGCTAATCCTAGACCTGGTCCCCTGGATCCTATTGGTCAGAGCAGTTTCAGCTCTAGCTCAGCTTCATGGGAGGGGAGATGAAGCCCTCCTCTCATTGGAGGAAGTGTTAAGAGCTTGGCAGTACTCTTTCATCCTTCACACTGAGTACTATAGTAGTCATCACATTGAAGATTTCTTCAGGAAGTGGTGTTTGTGCTAAGACCTGGGAGATGAAAGGGAGCAGCTTTGGGGACAGTGTGAGAGGGAAGGAATCCCAGGTGACTAGAAGTAGCTGAGGGAGACTAAGAAGTCCTTGAGGCTCGCAGAGAGAGGCTAGCATGATCCAGTTTGTATTTTTCTAACTACTGGGTTGGAGGGGCTGAGGATGGAGTGGAGGAGACTCCAGGGTGTGGGTGCAGCTCCTTAGGAAGGAGGTAATCAGGACCTGGGGGCAGAGCAGAGATGGCAAATAAATACCAGTGAAATCTCTCAGTGGTGGGAAGAAGGAAGGGAGAAGAATCAAGGGTGTTGCCCTCTGTTGACTTGGGATGGAAAGAAGTTGAGGAGGAGGGTGAGGCAGAGTCACCATCCTGTCTTGTCCCCTTCTGATCACTTGTCTCTCCCTTTGGATGGGCACTAGACTGCAAGCTCATACGTGGTAGAGAGGGTGGCTGGTGAGCTGGGGGGATAGTCCCTAGTACCTAGGGCAAGTCTTGGCACATGTTGGCACTAAATATTGAGTGAATTAATGAAATTTAGGTGCTGATTAGAATCGCTGGGGATGTGTGTAGACTATGTCTTTTTCCACCTTAGGAGCTGGGTGATGTCATTTGGGCAAAATGTCACCCACTCAAGCGCCTGATACCTGGCACTATGTTGCCGAGATGACAGAGTAGACTTGACGGTGGTTTCCCTAGGTGGTTTCCCTATCTGGAAAATGGTGATTAACCGAAGACTAGGGCTGGTTTACAAAGCTTGGACAGATGGAAGCTTGTCAGAAATGCAAAATCTTGGGCCTCACCCCTCACCTGTGGCAAGACCCAGGAATCAGCATTAACAACCTCTCCTAGGGGCTGGGGATGTGGCTCAAGCGGTAGCGCGCTCGCCTGGCATGCGTGCGGCCCGGGTTCGATCCTCAGCACCACATACAAACTAAGATGTTGTGTGCGCCAAATACTAAAAAATAAATATTAAAATTCTCTCTCTCTCCCACTCTCTCCCTCTTTCTTAAAAAAAAAAAAAAAAAAAACCTCTCCTGGGGGTTCTAGTGTCCATTCACTCCCCCCCCCCCAGTCCTGAGGCTTTAACCCAGTGACACTCTACCATTGAGCTACATTCCCAGCCCTTTTTATTTTATTTTTAAATTTTGAGACAGAATCATATTAAGTTAGCGAGTCTGACCTTGAGTTTACAATCTTGCTGTTTTAGCCTCTTGAGTCACTGGGGTTACAGGCATGTGCTACTGTGCCCTGCTATCTATTCACTTTTTTTTTGTGGGGGGTACCAGTGATTGAACCCAGGGGGCACTTGACCATGGAGTCACATCCCCAGCCCTGTTTTGTATTTTATTTAGAGACAGGGTCTCACTGAGTTGCTTAGTGCCTCACTCTTACTGAGGCTGGCTTTGATCTCTCCATCTTCTAGCCTCAGCCTCCCGAGCATTTGGGATTACAGGCATGCACCAACACRCCCAGCCTCTATTCACTTTTTTAAAAAAATTGGTTTTTAGTTGTAGATGGACACAATACCTTTATTTATCTTTATGTGGTGCTGAGGATCTAACTCAGTGCCCTACACATGTTAATCAGGCACTCTACCACTAAGCTACAACCCCAGTCCTCTATTCACTTTTAAGACCCATGCAGAATGATAGTTTTCTGGATGATAAATGTTTTACAGCTCACTTTCAGGCTGCACTGGCCTTCCCTCCTGCTCACCAGTATAAAATCCACAGTCCGCTGCCCTTTTCAGGCCAGGCCTAACATGAGCTTGGCTTTTTCTTTTGAGGGCCTGGAGCTGGAATTCCTTCCTGAGTGGGAACATGGCATGGAGGTTGGCAAATAGGGTTCCTGAGAACCTACCTCTTGGGTGGATGGTCTGGCCCAAACAAGTTGGGT